AAAACGCAGGTTTGTGTTCTCCTAAAAGCCGTTTTCCACCTAAGCAACGAAGCCTATTTTGTGGTTGTCATTTCGTGGGCTTTGTTAATCGTGATTCTCGGTTTCTTTGTGCACGTTTTGGACAATGTTATTGACACGGTTTATGTGTGCTACGCCATAGACAAAGACAGTGGAGAAGTTTACAAACAAGACGTGCATGAAGTTTATGTTCACTTGCCCATCAGTCGAAGCCACCAGCCGGGTTTCATGTCAAGAAATCCTCTTGTCGTGTAAAAATTTTCCCGCGATTTAGTTCCTCGTGTTGTATTATCTTCTAATTTCTTTCATCTTTTTCGTTATTCATGTTGTATTATCTTGTTATTTCTTCTATCTTCGAGAGTGTAAATTTGGAGCATGTGTAGCTTAGGCTTTTATTTTCATTTTTTTATTTAATATTGTAACCAAGGTTTTTGTCTAATTGGAGGGTCACTTAACAAATATTGTTAAATGGTAATGGGTTGGCCTCTCCACCAAAAGCGAATTGGGCTACCAAGTTCAGTGGGACCTGCTCACACCAAAATATTCTTCCGAGACCAATTTGTAGGCCCTGGCCCAATTTTTGTACCCCATTTTTTTGGGGCTCATTGGATTCTAATCTGTGGGCCCATACAAGGTCTCATACGCCTGATTTTTCTTGGGTTAATTAAGCATTTTCGTAGCATAACTTGGTTGTGGTTGAACCAACATGGGTTGACTCAAATGATAAGCAGTTTGATGTCGCTTAAGCAAGGTCTCGGATTCGAGTCCTCGTGGAATCAGAAAATCCTTGTTCACCCACCACTGTCAGGTGTGCGACTCGGATCGACCAAATGATTAGTCGAAACATAACTCTGGATACCGTGGTTGGCTTAAAAAAAACATGGTTGTGGTCGAAAATTTCAAGTACCAACACATCCAACTGATGCGAATGAGTCGGCTCGATTAGTTAAGGTTCGAACTTTGTTTGTTTTGTTTGATAGAGAATCTGAATCTGATCTCGATCTCGGTGAAGATAGATAAGAGCATTGATATAATTTTTTGAACTTTTAATATAACTTGACTTGGTAAAACTTATTAATAGCTAAGCTTAAGCTAATTTATGTAGCTAACGAGTCGAGCTCAGCTTGACTCTTCTTCACGTCATACATAACATGTTTGATCAATATAAAAATTCGGGTATAAGTATTTTTTTTTTTTTTTTTGCAATATTCCAT